TTCTTGTCTTCCTGAAAGAAAACCCCGCATGCCTTAAGCAGTGGCTCCCCTTCCTCCTCCACCCACAGCCTGGCAACCACCCATCTACTTTCTGTCTCTGTGGATTTGCCTGTTCCGGACATTTCATATAAAGAGAATCAGCCAATATGTGGCCTTTTGGGTCTGGCTCCTTTCTCTCAGCATAATATTGTCCAGGTTCACCCACACTGTGGCACGTATTCACAATTCATCCCTTTTAATGGCTGAGTAGTATTCCACAGTGTGGCTATCTAGTCTTTTCTTACCACTGGACTCCACAGCTGAGCAACCTTGCTGTTCCTCGCTCCCAAGAGGGCGAGAGCTTCCCTGGGGAGCTCTTCATGCTTTCCTGACTCGGGACACACGAAGACAGTGGGAGAGACCCTAAGTTATTCATTAAAAGTTGCTAGTCCTTGAGCGCTTACCACATCCAGTTCCTCTGAGCCTGAGCCCCCAGCCCCAGAGCTGGAACGGTACTGCCTCTGTGTCAAGAACATCCACCTCGATCCAAGCCCAGCTGTGGGACGTCCCAGGGTGAGTATACAAACACCAACCGTGGCCTCAGGTCCCACGTCTTTAAAATGGGCCTAATAGTCATATCTCCTCAGCAGGATTAAATGCAATGGCCTCTGGAATTAGCCCAGTGGTGGCCGTATGGGCAATGTCCAGTGACCCTGTGACCGTCACCCCATCTGCCTGCTCTCCTTAAACGGGATCGCATCCTCCCTGAAGGCCATCGTGGCTGCCTCAGGAACGGCTTCAGGAGCCAGGCTGGGCTTGGCATGCAGCCCCAGACCAGCCCTGTTCGCTGACTGGCAGCTTCCGAGTCTTCTGCATTTATCCTTGTCATAAATGTCAGCTGCTGTGTTTCTACACTGCTGGACGAGTGTTGGGGCTGCCAACGTGCAAATTAGCTCAATTTAACATCGCACCACCTTTTCCGGTTCTGACTGAATGGTTATCAAAGGCAGGGGCCCTGGGGCAATGCCCCAATCATCTCCTTCTGGCCCCAGCCTGCCCGGCAGCCGGTCCCACTCGGAGACCCGGAGGCCTCTTCCCTGGCTCTCTGCCTGTTGGGAGAGGCTCCCCCGGGCATTCCAGGAAGTAGGCGGGCAGGAGTCAGGACCGAGAACCAAAGTTTGGAGCTTTTCACTTACTTTGGTCTAGACTCTTTTGGTCATAAAGAAGAGAAATCTGAATCAAGTCATCTCAGTTCAATTCAATTCAACAAACGGCAGCTGTGTCGATGTGTCAGGCACAGGACCAAGGCTTGTGGTCCGTCGGAAAACAAAACTGAAGTTCCGGCCCTCGGAAGCCAGGTGTTAGACAGCAGGGATATGAAATAAAATGCGTCGTCCGGGGACGTGCACTACGGAAAGAAGAGAGAGAGCAGAGGCAGGGAAGTGGCATGAGGAGTGCTCGGGGTGGGGACAGGCTGCAGAACCGACTGAGATGGTCAGGGTGGGCCTGAGAATTGAGCAAAGACTTGAAGATGAGGTGTCAACCCAGGGGATGCTGAGAGGGAGAGAATTTCAGACAGAGGAGCAGCCAGAGCTGGGATGGAGAAAGGACAGCGTCTGGCATGTGTGAGGACCAGCAAGGAGGGAATGGGAGAGGCTGACTGAGAGAGATGGGGAGGAGTAAAAGGAATTCAGAGAGAACCAGATGGGGATGGGGTCACGGGCCATCGTCCAGACTTCGGCTTGGACTCTGAGTGAGATAGGAGCCACTGCAGTTTGGAGCAGAGGAGAGACGTAATTTGATTGATGTTTTGTTTAAGTGAAAAAGGAAACCGCTAGATTCCCAGATCTGGGTGAGTCAGAAGTTGGGGCCTCATTGTCTCCTCCAGAATACAGCCTTCCTCCGTGTGAGGAGGAAGAATGGATGCTCACAACTTCAGGCCAACACCATCCCAGGGCCCCTCCTGGAGCCGCCAGCGGTGTCTCTATCTGTGTCAGAACCTAAATTCCCAGGAAAGTTCTCTGATTGGTTCCGCTTGGACCAATCTCAGTGGCCAGGTGCCAGGAACGTTGTGATTGGCTGGTCTGGATCACACAGCTTCCCCACAGGAAGAAGATAGAGCATTCTGATTGGTTCTCCCACCAGAATTACAGGCAATAGGAGTACAGTTCCTGAAAGGAAGGGTGTGACTTTCCAGAGGAAGGTAGCAAAGAGAGGTGAGCTGGCAGACAAAATCATCTCTCATGGAATTGCTCATCCTGAGAGGCCACCTCTGCCCCAGGAGGGGCTGCAGAGCGATCGGAAAGTGCTCACTAATTGACATTTGCCTCTTCTGCAGCCCGCACACCACATTTCACAAACACTGCCTCTCCCAGCAGGGTTGATGCTACAGTGACGACTACAGTACAAATCTGACTTAAAAGGTCACTTCGGCTACAGTCATTCTTTTCGTCACTGCGTTTCTCCATCCCTGGCCAGAGAAAGCCCTAGCAATACTCACTGAGGTCAGGCACCAGCGGGCAAGGTGGGGCCACTTCCTGCTCTCCCTGGGGCTTCTCTGAAGTCACAGACAATTAAATAGCCCAGAGAGCTGGGTCTCTCATCCTCAGGAAATGCCGAGGAGGGTGAGCTGGAAGGAGCCACATGGGGCTTTAGACATAACACCTCCTCTTTGCTCAGGGTTGTGGAGTTGTGATGGAAGAAATTTTTTTTTTTTAAATACTGTAAAGTAACAAGATTTGAAGATACATCTCAGTGAATTTTGACATCTATATCCACCTGTGTAACCGCCACCAGGTCAAGATATACAACATTTCCAACACCCAGGAGGCTTCCTGGAGCGACGCAGGCCATCCCTTGCCCTCATTTTGTGCAGGCACCGCTGTGTTTCCTGTCGGCCTCAGGGCCACGCCCACGGTGAGCACCCCCATCCCCTGCCCTGTGCTTCCCACACCCTCTCCAGTCCCCCCAACCCCCCGCCCCGTGCAAGGCAGGGGGCACCAATCCCATTTTACGGGCAGAGAATGTAATTGGAGCTTAGAGAAAAGTAAGGCCACTATCATCACTGCCACCCAAAACATGGCAGCTTCCGCTGACTGAGAGAGGCTGTAGGGAAATTCTTGGCGGAAGATCAGAGAGGGGATTGTCCTCCTTGCCAAGCCCTGGCTTAACTGGTTCATTTCAGCAGATGACGAGGAAAAGATTCTTACCGTGAAGTCAAACACATTAGTGGGAAGGACATCCCTACAAAAGTCCCTCTTATTTTTGGCTCCATGTCACAGTAGGTTATCATCTGCTCCTTGCCCACGCTGGTTTTCCCAACCCTGCTGGTGACGTTTCTAGCTTGTCGTTTCAGAAGAACAAACAGGACAGAGCCCGCCCCGTCCAAGGAGGGATGGACACCGAGGGTGCTTTGCTGGGCTGTCTCTGGTCCTCGATTCTGGGGGCAGTACAGCCACAGACCCCAACCCCATAACTGAGCTTTTTGACAAGAAAGACAGCCGCCTCTGGTGGTTCTTCAGAGCTGGAGGCAAGAGAGGGGGGCACCCTCTGTTCTCAGATAGAAACATCAGCAAGGAGCAAGCCAGCACAGCTCCTCCCGACTTGCAGGCAGGGAGAAAACAGGTTTCAGGACATCCGATGCTTTCTGCGTCCTGACCGTGACCTATCGTTTATCTCCTGAGGCTGGGACAACCCTGCCTGGCAGCCCCATGCTCCTGAAACAGTGGTGTCAGCTTACAAGGACATCTTTTGTCCAGATAAGGAAGGTTTGGCACATAGCAAATGGATAAGAAGCTACCCCGTCCCCCACCTACCCCCTCCCTACTCTCCACCCACTGCCGCCAGCAGCAAGGGCAGGGGTTACCGACTTTCCCTCCTGGCAGCCTTCCTGGGTGGGATCATTATCCCCATTTTGAGGAGGAAGAAACTGAGGCTCAGAGGCTCATATAGATGGAGGGCACTGTATGCGCCAGGTGCTTAATAATTAGACATGACTCTTCTTAGTTCCCACAGCTGCTGTGGGGAGTGACTGACTGTCAGCTGCATTTTACAGTTGAGGAAACAGGTTCAGAGAGGGAGACTGCTTGCCTAAGGTCACACAGCTGGTGCTAGTGATAGAGATGCTAAAGAAGACCGTGGAAAAGCCTGCTAGTTTCCTCCGGCTGCTGTCATAAATGACCACAAATTTAGCGGCTTAAAACCACACAAGTTTATTATCTTACAGTTCTGGAGGCCAGGAGTCCTAAATCAATTTCAGCGCGCTAAAGTCAAGGGAACTGCAAGCTTCTAGAGACACCAGCGTTCCAGAGGGCTCACGGCCCTCCCTTCATCCTCAAAGCCAGCAGCCGAGCATCTTCACTCCTCTCTGGGCTCTGCTCCTGTCTTCACATCTTTTCTCCCTCTGATTCTGCTCCCTCTCTCTTCGGAGGACCGTCGTGGTGAAACTGGATTCACCCAGATAATCTAGAGTAATCTCTCCATCTCAGTATCCTAACTTATTCCCACCTGCAAAGTCCCTTTTGCCACATATGGTAAGGTGTGCACAGGCTGGGGGGGGGGGGGGTTGGGACGTGGACGTGTTTGGGGGCCATTATTCAGCCTTCCACGAACATCAAAGTCACATGGGTGTAGGTGTGGCTGTGGTTCAAGGGTGCAGGCTGAGTGTGCGGACAGATGCTCGGTTCTCATGCTCAGCACTTGCCCTGACCCTCAAGAAGGTGGGAACAGATCAGTGACCTGGCCACCTATGCAGGTCCTGCCATGTGCCAGTTTTGTCACACCCCCAGAAGGCAGGCACTGCGGTAGCCCACATTTTAGAGAGGAGAAAACCGATTAGAGAGTGTTTAAGGATTTGCCAGGGAGGGGTGGTCCGGAACCAGTACCTGGATCCGGGACACCTCCGTCTCTCTGCTTCTCTCCCAGCATCTGGAGTCCGATGTTGCTTCTGCCGCTGGGCGTGGGCGGGTGCTGAGCGCGGATAGGCCCCCCTCACTGCTCTCCCCGCCTCCGCCCTTCTCTAGGAGACACAGCCTCACGCCTGCTCTCGCCGTGTTCCCCGGAGCTCCTGCCGCCGAGATGCCACCCCCTAGCCTCGCGATGGTGAGTGGCCAGGCGCTCCCGGCCTTCCTGCTCTGCAGCACGCTGCTGGTCATCAAGATGTACGCGGTGGCCGTCATCACGGGCCAAGTGAGGCTGAGGAAGAAGGTACGTGCCGCCCTCGGGTACCCAGCCCGGCGTGCGCGCGCTTCTGGCGCTGTGCTGGGGGAAGGTCCGGGACAAGAGAAACACGGCCACGGGGTTTTCAGCGCCCGAGTGTGAGCAGGCCGGGACCCAGGTGCCTCTCCCAGCCCTTTGGGATGGCGCACTCGGTCCCAGCAGGACCTGCACCTTCTTGTCCTCTGTTTTAAGAGCGTTCACTCACTGGCTGTGCCACCAGGTAACTTCTCGGCAGGACGTGACTCTCGGCCCGCCCTGGGCTCTCCTGCGCTCCGCTCCGGGAAAGCAGGTCCTGGGGGTGGAGCGAGCAGCGGAAAGCCTCCGTCGGACCGGCGGCTTCCCGGCACGGGAGATCTGATGCTTGGGTGGAGTGGGAACCGGCGAAACAGGAGCCCCGGAAACCTTTAGTGGAAATTCCCAACTTGCCGGTGAGGTCGCTTCCAAGCCTGCTGCAGCCTCCAGAGCAGGTCTCAGCCAGGCTCCACCGGAGCGCTCGGGGCGGAGCTTTCCCCAGGCTCCGAGTCCCCGAGACAGAACAAGGAAGGGGCCGAGATCCGGGCCGGGCCGGGTGGGTGGGCGGGAGGACGGTTCCAGTGCAACTCGGCTAGCACCGGACAGCCAGAGCCCGGGACGTTCCCGGACAAGCTCTCCAGCCCTCCTGTTAGACACAGAGGCCCAGGGTGCACCTGCTGACCATCCTCCCAGGCATTTCAGAGAGGAATTGTTTCTGGAAACTGTGCCCCACTGTCCCCCTTTGTCCAGTTCAAAGGCGTGGCGTGGGACACTGGGGAGTGGCATCTTGCCTGGCAGATGGCTCAGCTCCTGGCACAGGTACAGGCAGGGCTGAAGGCAGGGCAGCTCCCCAGATGAACTGTCACCCGGAGCAGAGGCACAGTGATCACTCCTGACTTCTCCCACCTTGGCTCATCCTGGCATGCTGGTTACAGGCACGGAGCAGGGGCAGCTGCTTTCACCCACTGAGTCCTTCCATGGAGCTGAGCGTTAATACCCACCACAGCCCTAGGGGAAAGAGGGGAAGAGCCGGGTTCAGCTTATTTTCCAAGTGAGGAACTCGGGCTCAGAGAGGAGACATCACTTGCGAAGTCTGGTTTGAACCCGGGTGTCCAGCCCACACGTGCTCCAGGGGGATGGGGTCCTCAACAGCAGGGTGCAGCCCAGAGCTTTCCTTGCAATGTGAGCTCAGGGAGGGGAGGAGACAAACCTGTTGGAGTGCTTTTGTGCCTGGTCAGTGGGGAGTGGCAGAAGGAACATCCCCTTGGGCTGTCCCCGAGGTGCTCCTTACCAGTGTCCCTATCGTTTCTGCTCTGAGTTCAGTGTCAGCCAGGAAGGAGCGGGAGAGCTGCACTGTGGGGAGGTGACGGATGGGGCTCTGGCTCCTGCACCCAGCAGCCTTGGGAGCGCGGGCAAGTCTGGGAGCTCAGTTTCCTCATCTGTAAACTGGGGCTCATCACAGTACTGCCAGGAGAATTCGGCGCCTGGCACGGAGCAAATGGTCCACCAATGTTGGTTCTCACTACTTATTACAACCGGAATTAACACGAACGGCAGCTGCCACAGGTCCCTCGTGGGGGCATCCAGAGGCCTGCCCCCCTGCCCCAGCTAGAGGTAGTTACTCCAGCTTCTGTCACCGGGGCTCCTCCGGTCCACACTGCAGGTGGCTCCCGGCCAGGCTCACCTGCATTCCAGATCCGTCTTCAGGACCGAGCAACCTCATGGACTTTAGACTCCAAAGGCAGCTGCCCACTGAATGCTAAGGCCCTTTCAAGGCTGTTGTGGGTCCACGCACTCTGTGCAGGGCCGTCAGAGTTGATGACTCCGTGACTTAAGGGCTAGCGGAGAGGAATTCTGGGTGTGAGGGCTCCCATCCTGGCCGTGACAGGCATCAGTGCCATGCTACGTTCACCTCTGGGGTGGGGCAGGGGCAGGCCCACCAGACAGGACAAACCAGCGCTTGAGGACAGGTGTCACCTGGGCTCATGAGTCAGCAGCAGCAGGACTTGCCATTGGATGAGCAGTTTAGCAAACTTGCTGCTGAGGATGCCGGCAGGGAACCATGGAAGTGAGTGACAGGCATGAGCCTTTAATGACCTGAGTGTGACCTTAAGGGTCTGCCTTCCGCTGACAATTCGTTAAGCATTCTTCCTGTGCCAACCATCTTGTGCTGGAGGCTTCTCCAGTTCTCTCCTTCACTCTTGGCAGGGTGCATGAGCTCCGCTGATCCAGGGTTCACAGATGAGGAAGCTGAGGCTCAGGGAAGTCCAGAAACCCGCAGTTAGTCATTGTGGAGCTGGAGTTCCCACTCTCATTGCTCTTAGTTCAAAGTCCAAATTCTTAGGGTCCTCTAGGACCCCTGCTGACCCCTGCAGCTTCATCTTGGGCCTCTATCCCTTGCTCTCTATGCTTCAGCCATCCTGGTTTTCTGTTCTGCAAACATGTCCATTTTCTTCTGACCCCAGGGTCTTTGCACATACTCTTCCTTATGCCTTGAATGCTGTTGCTCCAACCCTCCCTTCCTCTGGTTAATGTTGACGCATCCTTTAAGCCTCAGCTTCAGTGTCACTGCCTCGGAGAAGAAAAGCCTTCTCTGACCCCCAGACTCAGTCAAGTCTCTGTGAGCACTCTCAAGGCCAGCCCTGTCTTCCCTTTCTTAAGACTCAGCACCTGGTCTTCCCTGCTCCACAGGCAATTCCTCCATCAGACTGTAAGCTTCACAAAAGCGTGGATGGGAGGGCCTTTGTCTCAGTCCGTTTGGGCTGCTCTAACAAAATGCCACAGACCAAGTGGCTCGTAAACGAGAGAAACTTATTTCTCACAGTTCTGGAGGCTGAAAGTCCAAGATCAAGGCCCTGGCAGATTCGGTGTCTGGGGAGGGCTCGCTTCCTGGTTCAGAGATGGCTGTGTCCTCACATGGCGAAAGGGCGAGGGAGCTCTCCGGGGCCACTTATATAAGGGCAATAATCCCAATTGTGGGGCTCCACCCTCGTGACCGAATCAACTCCCGAAGGCCCCACCTCCTGGTCCCATCACATCGGGGGTTAGATTTCAACAGATGAATGCACAGGGCACACAGACGTTCAGTCCACAGCAGCCTCCTTCGTGGTGAGTCTCCAGCACCTGACACATAGTAGGAGCTTGTGGATGCTGGTGGATGGATGTGTATGTGGCCGTGCCGCCGCAGACCCCGGGGCCTGGGCCGTGCATCTCAGTGACCCTCAGCTGGTGTGTTCCAGGCTTTCGCCAACCCCGAGGACGCCCTGAGACACGGAGGCCTCCAGTTTCACCGGGACGACCAGGACGTGGAGCGTTGCCTGAGGCAAGTCCTGCTGGGCCTCGGCCTGGCCTTTCAGTCTCTCTCTGAACCCCCGGGGTTTGGGGGCTGCTGGGGGCCAAGCTCTTCTGCCTTCCTGACCCCCTCAGATTGTTTTAACTTATTCATTGATTTAATTTCTAATTGTGGGAAAGTAGAACCTGCTCATGGCTCAGGATTACAGAGTTGGAAACAGGCATCCCGTGAAAATCCAGTCTCCCTCGACCCCTGGCCTCCAGCGCCCCAGCTCTTCTCTCCAAGGGCAAAGGTTGTTACAGTGTCTCGCGCATCGTCCCAGAGGCGCTGTCTGCACATGTGAACGCATGCGCTATGCTTTTTCCTTCTTACCCGCAAAGGACCCCCCTTTCCCCGCTGGTCTGCACTGTGCCTTTTCCCCAAATGACACAGATTGTTCCACGTCAGCCCAGAGAGGGGCCGCGTTCATTGTATGGATGCTCTGGGGTCTACACCATCCTCCTGTTGAACGGACGATCCGAGCTCATCTCACTGGTTCCTCTGATGGGCCGTGTTCTCAGTCCGTCTCTGTTGTGAGCAATTGCACCCAAACCTCTTTCATTTGCCTTGGTGTGTATGTGTGAGCAAAAACTGCAGGACGCAGCCAGATGGTCAGAAATAGTGCCAAACGGTGCACGACGCCGCTCCTGCCGCAGGTGTGCGTGCCGTTTCCCTCCGCCGCCTCAGTGCACCCACTTCGGGGTGGATACACTGCCAACGTGATAGGTGAAAATTTACGGCACATTCAGGGTTTACTCTGTATTTCTTTCGCTCTGAGCGAAGTTGAATATCATTTCATACGCTTAGCCTCCCTTAATCAATCAAAAACAATTTTTCTTACTGTAAAAATCAGAATTCCTCATTCAGACAATTTGGAGAGGAGAAAGAGGAGAACCTCCCACGGTTCTAATCATTGTTAACATTTTCGTCTGTCTCCTCTTCGTCTTCTATGTCTAAATATCTTTCATAAAATTAGTCACGCCTTATATACCCAATTTGGGGTTCTGATTTTTTTTAGTTAACATTATTTCATGAGCACTTTCCATGTGAGTAAATATTACTCAAGAAATGATTCTTACAAAATGACTGTGTAAAATTCTGTTGGAGACCAAATGATGACTTCAAGTGATCAGTGTCAGTGTTGGACTTTTTGGCAGTTTCCTCTCTGCTGCTGGACCTCGGTGGGCTGGAGAGTGAGGAGGTGGCACTCCCAGGGGCTGGGGGTTGTCAGGGGAGGTCGCTGGAGAGGTGGGGGATGGGGAGCTGGGCAGGAGTGAGACGGGGACAAACCCTCACGGAGTTCTCAACACCTTCCCGTGGAAGTGGGTGGGATGCTGTAGTGAAAATGATAGAGATTCTTTTATTAGAAGGAAGTCAGTGGTTTTTTTTGTTATGGTTTTCTTGATCATTGAAAATAATATACGTACTTGTGGTTTTCAAAAATTACAGACACGTGTCATGTAGGGAGTGAAATTCTTTGCTATTTCGCCCTTTCTAAGATAACTACAGCGTCCAGTCCTTCGTGTGCGGTCCATCCATCCATCTTCCATTCATTCAACATTTAATGCGCACCTACTGTGTGCAGGACACAGTGCTAAGCACTAGTTTACTTTAGTGAACGAAAGCCAGACCCACACAGAATGCCCTACTGGTGAACCTTGCCCCGGCCTCCCCCTGGTTGGCTTTGCTCTCCTGGGCAGTGGAGAAGGGCAAGATGCCAGTCGAGGCAACCACTGCCGTGACTGTGGAAGGCCAGAACCGGCTCACAGCAGCCGCCAAAGGATGTGTCTAGCTTCTCTCAGCTTTGGAGCTTCCGTGCTGCGAAGCGTACTTGTGGCATGGAGTGGTTGCATGGGCGGCTTAGGAACTGGGCTGTTTTTATTGGCTGTAACCCCGCCCAGGAGAGCGGCAGACCCATGTGGTGCCGAGACATTTCTGGTCGCCCAGTACAATTTTTTCCTTTGATCGAAATGACTCCCCATCTATGGGGCCGATGCTCAGACGGTTGAAATTCAGTTCAGCACTTTTCGAGCACCTCATTTAATGGTGTGTTATATCCACTCCATGAGTATCCATCGGGAACTCACATGACCAGACCTGGGAGTTCCTGGTCCCCTGGGCTCCTCCTCCTCCTGACTTCACCTAACATCCTGGGACCTGGAGGCCGCAGAGCTCAGAGGGCCATCCGTCCTGTCGTCTGCTACCAGAGAACTGGCTGGAACCTGAGTGGGAGAGGCCCTGAAGGAGAAGTTAGTTAAATATTAGATCGAGTTTATGTTGCCATGAGGGTCAGCCTTCTGGGCACACATGAAGGCACTAGGTCCGGGTTCTTGGAGGAGAACATGCTGCGGCCACAACACGAGCCGGGCCCTGGGGGGAGTCAGGAACCAGCTGTCAAGGAAAGCGATGGAACCCAGCCACCTCGCCTCCCCATGCCTCCCAAGTCTCCTGGCTGTGTGTCTTTGGCCCAATTCGGAGTCTGTGTGTATGAAACTGCAGTGAGGGGGGGTCTCTGAGTGGTCCCAAAGCAGGAAGACACACACCTGCCCGAGCTTTGGAGTATTTCTGACTGTTTGGAGTCTGTGGACTTAATCTGAGTGAACCGGTTTGGCAGGAGACTGGTCCCCAATTCTGAGCCCAGAAGCTCCTTAGATATTATCCAGCACGTTCATTTTATGGGTGGACGGTGAGCCAAGGCCCAGAGGGGGAGGAGACTTGCCTGAGGCCCCGGCACTCACCAGCACCCACAGGATGGCAGGACGGCAGGCTCCACCCAGCACCCCGAAGATGTGGTCTATGAGTCGGGCCAGGGCGTCTGAGGGCGGTCTGGAGTCTGGCAGAACCCAGAGGGTGAAATTAGCTTTAACAATTGTGTCCAGGACTGGGCTGATGATGATGATGATGACGAAGAAGATGGCAGCTAACTTAGAACACACCTACGCGGCAGCAGGCGGTGTTCTTGGCGCGTTATAAATACCACCTCGCTCGGCCCTCCCAACAACCTTGTGAGGAGGGTACTGTTATCTCCGGCGGGAGAAACAGGCTCGCCAAGGCCGCATGGCTCAGCTGCCATTGGGCCCAGGCCGTGTGATGCGCGTGGGCTCTGCTCCAAAGTACCCCCCTCCGCATAAACCTCGTTTTACTCCGTTTTTCTACCTGCCTTTAAAACGAAGTGGCCCTTTACTTAGTGTCAAACCTGGATTCAAGGAAGTCACCAGTGTGGATGGGGAACAGGGCAGAGGGGAGGGGAGAGACCTGGCCTGGCCCCCAGCAGCTGTCCCTGCCCGGGATGCCCGGGGATAGCTATGGGTCACCCTCTCCCGACTCTGTCACCTGATGCCATAAAATGCGGCTGGTGTTGCAATGTCTGCTGAGGGGGAGGCAGCCTGGGGCCGCGGGAGGCTCTGCAAGTCCAGTCTAGTGGGGTTTTGCTTTGGGTGACTTTTACCTTAAAAAAACAGTTATTATTGGAATGACACGTTTTGCCCAAGTGTCTGTCTGGTACGTGACTCTTTCCATGTCTGCCGGTTCGGATCCTGGGGTGGGGAGGAGGAGGATGGGTTTGTTTGCATCATCCGTGCTTTCCCCACGTCTCCCTGACCGTGGCACCGCTTGCGGCTTCATGGGGCCCTGCTGTGGTCGGAGACATGCCAGAGGGAGGAGGGGGCTGCGAGCAGGCGCTGAGCTCCCTGGCTCCTCTCCTCCCCCACTGGTGACCTCTGAGTCCTCTAGTTCCGATTGCTGGAGCTGGGAGATGGCGCTCAGCACTTGCTGCACGGTTTTCTGTGAGGGCCGCCCCTCCCCACCTCTGAGTTCCGCCCCGCAGAGCAGGGCGCCCACCGGCCACCACCGTCTCCATCCTTGTCCCTCCTCTCTGCCCTGTCTCTCCCCGACTTCTTTCCCTCCTGCTCTTTGGGGTTTGGCTGACGATTCTCTTAACGGCTTTCTGAAAACTGACTCACTCTTAAAATGGAAATACGTACTTTAAGGAAAGGTATCTGAATGAATGGGTCTCGGATGCTAGTTATGCTTTTCTGACGCTTTCAGGTAAATATATAAGTATGACAAAAATACTCATCCAGGGGCCAGCCTGGTGGCGCAGCAGTTAAGTGCACACGTTCCACTTTGGCGGCCCAGGGTTCACCGGTTCGGATCCCGGGGGCAGACATGGCACCGCTTGGCACGCCATGCTGTGGTAGGCGTCCCACATATAAAGTAGAGGAAGATGGGCACGGATGTTAGCTCAGGGCCAGTCTTCCTCAGCAAAAAGAAGAGGATTGGCAGCAGTTAGCCCAGGGCTAATCTTCCTTAAAAAAAAAAAAAGCTCATCCAGGTGGTCCCATTTCGTGGGTCACCTATGGTAGGCAGACCACATTCTGGGACACAGTGACAACCTAAAATGGGTTTTCCAAGGGCGTCCCTCTAAGAGGGTGTGGGGGCACGTTGGGATACTCAGCTCCATCTCCATGAGAGTGTAGAGGAACACTGGCTGCCTCCTCCCTCATAACTCACAAGTCGGCAGAGGAACTTGCTTGACTGGGGAACTGGAGCGGCCCCAGTCCTCAGTTCCCCCTCTCCTCTTCCCCGGGGCCCGGGTCTGGCCAGTGCCCACCTCTGTCTGATGTGGAAGCCAGCAGTCCTTCCCTGGCTGGGCAAGGCTGGCCCTCCTGCAGACTTGCTTTCCCTGTGGCTGGGTCTCAAGGTTGAGATTTGGGAGAAAAGGAGCAGGAAGGCCATGTTGGCTCCAGGACAGGGGGACAGAGACACCAACTGCCATGTCCTGAGTTTGACCTAAGAAAGATCCAGGCCCTGCTGGGTTTCTGGGAGCTTTTGTATGCCAGACAGAATTCCAGACTCCTTATCCCGCTTCATGAGGCCTCTCTCCCGCTCTTATCCTGCCTATTCCCTCTTGTGCACCACACTCCAGCCACATGGGTCACTTTTCTGTGCCTTGAAAACACTATGCTCATTCCCACCTCAGGGCCTTTGCACATGCCAGTCCCATTCCCTGGAAAGTTCTTCTTCCTGCATGGATTGCCCCTCATCACTCAGGCTGCAGTGCAAATGCCTCCTGACCACACGGACCCTTATCATGCTGCAGAGACACCTATGACACTTGGTGGCCAAGTGCTGCAGTCCTCTTCCCTGCCCTGTCCAGCCCAATTCCTTTCCATCAGGCCACATACCAAGGCGTTTGCCCAAGGCTCTCCATGCAAGTGGGAGGGAAGAGGAGGACTCTGCAGCAGGTCCCTGCCTGGCCCACTGGTGCAGCTTTGGAGAAACGCGTTCCAGCTGGAAGGCCTGGAGAAGGGGCTTCCATTCCAGCAGAGTCCCGGTGCCTCACGCATGTGGCCCGTCCTTGGGGGAGGTCATGGGCTGGGCACTGGATTCCTGTTTGTTTGAACTTCCAACATGGCATCTAGGGCTTCAGTCGCTCGCTCAGTCTCTAATTTATGGGACTCGACCTCCCCACCCTCTGTAAAGGAAGCTGCCCATCAGCAGGAGTCACGGAAAATGTGAACCAACTCTTAGCAGAAGTGGGTTTTCTTTCTTGGTCATTTATTTATGGCAGGGTTATACACAGCCGTCCCGCCCCCGATACACTCCACAGACTCACACACTTGATGATTTTAAACAAAAAAAGAAACAGGACAGCAGGGATGAAATGAAGAGCTTTGCCGAGGTCCGGCAGCTGGTTGGCTCCAGTGAGTGGAAGCTGTTCTTGTTCTTATTTTCCCCAAAACGGGGAGGAGGGGTTGCTTATATTTAGCGGCAGAATAAGACAGATCTGGGCCTGGGTTTCAGATGCACGCTCCTAGGCTCTAGCCCAGCCCGCTCGGGAGGGCCCGGGAACCTGCATTCGGAAGGAGGGCGCCTCAGAGCTGCCTTGGGGGTAAAGGGCATGGGCTCGAGTCAGACCTGGGCTCCTCCCAGCTCTCACTCACCCCGCTGAGCCCCACTTTTCTGGCCTGGCATCCAAGGCCAGAGGGGAAGGTGGGGAGAGTGCGGTGGGGGCCAAGGCCCAGCCAGCCCTAGGGCTCAGCAAGAAAACCCCAGGAGCAGCCTGTCTGGCTCCTAGCCCGTTAACGGGAGCTTAGGGTCGTGGTCCCTCCTGCCTCTGGGGCTCTCCTTGTCCTGGCCGTGAGCGGACTTGACTCTCCTGAGATGACCCCCAGTGGTGCGGGGTCCCTCAGGGCAGAGGGCCGCTGCCTCCCGTGGTGTTCTCACCGCTGACGCCTGGCTGACCGCTCCCCCTTGCCTTCCCAGAGCCCACCGGAACGACATGGAGACCATCTACCCCTTCCTGTTCCTGGGCCTCGTCTACTCCTTCCTGGGGCCCGACCCTTTCGTGGCCCAGATGCACTTTCTCGTCTTCTTCCTGGGCCGCATGGTGCACACCGTGGCCTACCTGGGGAAGCTGCGGGCGCCCACCCGCTCTCTGGCCTACACCGTGGCCCAGCTCCCCTGCGCCTCGATGGCCCTGCAGATCGTCTGGGAAGCAGCCCGCCACCTGTGACCGCCAGCTGAGACCTCCTTGCCGCCAGACCGCTGACCGTGAGCCGCCTAGGGGATTGGGCATCCCTTCCAGATTGTGACAGGCCCTGGGGCCTGGTTTCCTGGCAAACTGCTGAGCGCGGGATCCTGGACCCAGTGCACCTGTGTGTGTTTGCATATGTGTGTGTTTGCACATGTGCGTGTGTGCGCCCCTTGGATTCCTGGGTGAAGTGGCCGATGGAGCCGTTTAGAGACGAGCTGTCAAGATTGATAGAAAACCCTTCCACTCAAATAATAGAGCATTTAAAACATGACTCCTTCTTCATCATCCCTAAGAGCAGGAAGAGTGAGGAGGGCCAGTTCAGATTCCTGAGCCTAATGGTCATCCGATCCAGGGCTGTAGTAAATGCAGACTTCTCAGACCCACCCCAGAAATTCTGGTTCAGCCTATTTAGAGGGGGGCCTGGGCATCTGCATTTTTTGTAAAGCTCCTGGTGAGTCCCAGCACGGGCGGGTCCCGAGCCCCTGGCAGCCCCCTCTAGAGGCAGGGCCAGGACGCGCAGGGTGTGTTGCGATTTCTTTTACGGCCGGAGTTCAGTGAGGGGGCATTATGCTCGGTGCCCTCCGCTCAGTCCACATCCCTCACTGGAGCCTTCTCTGCCTGGCACCGGGGCGGATGGGAGGGGCCCCCGGTGACGTCTGCCTTCTCTCCCTGAGGTTTCTGTCGCTCCTGAAGGCTGTAAATCAAGGACAATGGGCCTTGAAGGACCAACCGCAAAAGGGAACTTACTGGCTCCTTCAGTATCTGCAGGATTTGAAAACCGCAAATGTGCCTCCTGTGGAGAATGTGTGTGTGTGTGCGTGTGTGCATGTGGAATCCACGTGTCTCTCCTAGACTCCTGTTCTGAGACGTGTGTGGCTTTAATCATTAAATGGAGCCTTTGGCAAGCTCGGCCCACCGCTTCGCAGCCCCCTTGGCTGCTCCTTCCTGGCGTCCACCACTGCCCGCGGCTGGCCTGGGCTCCAGCAAGCTGGATATTTTTGCTGGGCGTGTCTGGACACGACCTCTGGCAAACACACGATGCGCCCTGACTGGGGCATTAAGGCACGCAGCCAGCAGCCTGCTCCCTGACACCCTCCTGCCTCCTGCTAGCAGCCAGGAAGGTGGTCTGTCGGCTCCAGTGTTACAGCTGAGGACACTGAGGCTCCAGGAGGTGGACACCCAGAAGGGCAGGGCCAGCTCTGGCCTGGCCTGTCAGGGTCCAAGGACCTGTCCCAACCACTGTGCTCCACTGCCTCGCGTTCCCTAAATGCCCTCCAGCATTGCCCCCTTTTCTCCAGGATCTGGGGAAGCCCCCCTCTTCCCTGGGCACATCCCCCTCTCCGCCCCCTGCAGCCCCTGAACTTCAGACCCCACGGACTGATGGGACCGCAGAGGGGGCCGCCCGGAGGCTCCGGGGACCCCAGGCCTCGCTGGAAATCCAGGTGAACCCCTCCAACCCCGCGCCGGGCTCGGGCTGGAGTGGGAAACGCTGCCCCCTGGTGGTGGGACGAGCCTCCGTTCTCGGGCCGCGGCCGCCCGGCGGGAAGCAGGAGGGGCGCGATCCAGGAGGGAGCCTGCTGTCTGCTGAGCATCGGCGCCGTGCTCCGTACTGAAATCTTTTCCCCTTGACCGATCCCCGGAGGGAGACATTTCTGCCTTTTGAGGAGGGAAGTAAGGCTCAGAGAGGAGAGGCGGGCTGCCCACCGTCCCCGAGCTGGGATGTGATGAAGGCAGAGGCGCGGCCCCAGTGTGTGTTTCTATATTTTGGTATTTTCCCTCCTGGGGACAGAGAGTCTGGGAGGGCAAAGTGCCCAGCTCCGACCCGGGGGGAGGAGGGCATCTGACGCCTCCGGGTACCTTGTGAATATGGGGCCTCGATGAAGGGGCGGCCCGTCCGAGCGCAGAGACGCGGAGCCCCTCGTGCATGGCGTCATCATTCGTTCACCCGGGCGGGGCCTCCGCCGACGCTGTGCCGGGCGCAGGGGCAGCAGCAGCGTTGGGGGGACAGCAGGACAATAGACAATGACAGCCCCAAGTGCTCAGCACCCTAACGAGGGGGAGATGGGCCATGGGAGCGCAGTGAGGGCCCTCCAACCCTGCTGGGGTGGGGCTTCCTGGGGGAGGCGGCAGCTCACCTGAGATGCGGGGTAAGTCAGACTGGTTTGGGGGGATGTCTGAGCTGAGGAAGTTGGGGCGCAAAGACAGCAGAGCTCAGCCCCCTGGGGTCTTGCGGCTGGGTAGTGGAGGGAAGGTGTGTTGGGGGGGGCGGGTGGAGGTAAGGTGGGAGGGTGTGTGGGGGGAACGAGGCTAAAGGGGTCAGCAGCCGGCTCATTCGACACTTTGGGTCTTGTCAAGGGGGTCAAGCAGGAGCGGGATTGGTGCCGTTGGGTCTGTGTCCTAAGAGGATCTCTGAGGAGGCCATGGGGAGAGCAGTGTGGTGGTGTTGACAGCCGGCCAGCGGCCTGTACCTCCAGGTGGACAGGCCTCCAGGTGGTCAGTGCCCCGGCTGCCCACCCAGGAGCTGGAGGGCCTGGGGAGAGGCAGGTGCCGGCCGAGGGCAGGGAGGGGCCAGCCCAGGGTTTGTCAAGGGGCAGCTGGCAGGAGCAGAGCAATTTTTCCAAGGGAGAAAGAGGCCCAGGGAGCCTGTTCCACTCCTGCCCCCAGGGGACACTTAACCCTCCAGGAGGGGAAGGGCTGGGAGTGGCCCCCTGGTGGCCCCTGTCCCCGGGGCTGGACACCCAGGCCCAGGAGAGCCACCGCTTGTCACCTGGCAGCAGTCGAGCGAGCACGGCATGTGTATCGACATGGTAGGGGGTCCCTGAGACCATGTCTGCTGACCCGGCCGGAGGCGTGTGACTCGGCCACCCCCAGGACCATTGCAGGCACCACGTTCACATTGACCTCAGGCGCTGGCGAGTTCTGACCTCCTCCTTTCACCTGCAGCGCACATTCTGCCCCCTCTCCACCCAGACTTGGGGCGACCCTCCCGGCTGCCTCCCCCCTGCTGACCCAGGGTTGGGGGTGGTGTGAAGTGCAGGCAGTGCTTGGGTGGGGGGTGCTCAGCGGCAGCCGAGGGTCCTGGAGCCACAGCCTTGGGAGGCAGGCAATGACTTTTGGGCTGAGCCCAGGCCTGGAAGCTGGGGCTGTCCCTGGTTGGGGCCGAGCCTCTGGGGGCATCTTCTCCTGGGCTCTGAGGGAGCAGAAAAGGCCAGAGCCGGGCGGGGGTGTCGCTTAGTCCCAGGGTCAGGGCGCTGGCCTGCGAGTTGGGGTCCTCTCTTCAAAATATTGCCAGTTTGGTCTCTTGCTATAGAAACTTTCACCCCACCCCTGTACACACCTTCTAAGGAGGAAGCCCAAGACAGGCGACGGCTGGTGTGCCCCGTCCACCCAGGCCCCCCAGTCTCCCATGAGGGCCCCTCCGAGGAACCCCTGGGGCTCCCCCATCTAGTGGATTTCTTAGCTCGAGACTTCCAGGAGCCTCCGTGGTATGTGAGGGACTCGGAGGAACAGGCAAAGGTGACAGGAAAAAGGGGCCTGGTTTGCACAGTCCTGGAGGAAGGGACAGAACTGGGGGACCCCCTGGGGAGGCAAAGCCTTGTTCCCACAGAATCCAGGGGCTCCCGGGGCCTCTGTGTGTCCCCAGGAGGCCGTTGCCCTCGGGATTGGGTGTCCAGGCTGGCCCTGGTGGAGACTGCCCCTTCTGATTCCAGGCAGGCTGGGCCTTGGGCAGTCACAGAAGAGGGGGCTCTGTTGGGGCTGGTGGGAATCCAGGCAGGCCTCCCAGGAGAGGCGTCATTTGAACTGGAACCTGAAAGGCAGATGGGATTTTTAAAAATTGTGAATTATATGTACTCGTGAGTAATGGTCAATGTCAAAGGGTTAGAAACTACAGAAAAGCTTAAAGAAGAAAATAAACACCTCCCAACCTCTCACCACGCAGGGGCTGCCCTGGGTCATGCTGCGGGGGCCCTGAGACACTTGTTTGTGGACCTTGCCGTGAACTCCTGGGTCATCACAACAGCCTCCCAACCACACCCCTGCGTCCACCCCGGGCCCCCCGCACGGAGCCAGAAGCTTCTCCTGTGTGCTGAGCCCTCAGGTGGCTTCCGGCCCACTCAGAGGGAGGCCTCATTCTCATAAGGCCCCACTCTATCTTTATCTTCCTCAGCGTCCGTCTCTTTCCCTAGAATGCGCGCTGCCAGGGCACAGGGATTTGGGTCTTTTGTTCCCTGCTGCGCCCGTGTCCCCAGGTCTTGGAAGAGCACCTGCTCCTGGGGCGTTTCTGTGAAGTGAATGACTGGTGTGTATAATGAATGTGTGTGTGTGTGAATGTGTGTGTGTGTTTGCACACACAGAATAGAGAGAGGGAATCAGCATTATTTTTATGTAGGATGGAGTTCCACAGCAAAAAAATGTTTATCGAGGGTTTCTTGGCACTGGGGAGACGTCAGTGCGTCACAGATGTGGGTGGCGTCTGTGCTCAGGGGCTCACAGTCGCCCAGCAACACCTCAGACTGGCTCTTTGTCATTTCTTGAGATTCTCCTTAATAACCCATCCACACTTCCTCGCAGGGCATTTGATGGTCAGTAGTGTGAACTGTAACAGCTCGCTGGCGTCCGGTCATCCTGGATCCCTCATCATTTATTTAACCCGCCCTCGTTGTTGGATAATTGCGTTTCCAGGCCACGTCAGCATAAGAAACGCTGTCCGGGCATCTTTGTACATAAATTTCTGCGCACGTCCATTTCTTTAGCGTACGTTTCTAGAAGTCAAATTACTGGGCCAAAAGGCATGCTTGTTTTTAAGGCTCGTGGCATATATTGTCCTTCAAAAAGATGGTTCCAATTTAGATAGGATTTTAAAAGAGTTTTGTCAAGTTTTAGTACCCACGTAGGGAAGTTTACCAGTGTGTGTACAAAGAATAGAGACCACCCACAATCCGACATCCCGAGACCATCACTGTTCACGGTACGCTTGGGACTTGCCAGGGTTTTTATTGTGCATATTATATGTAATATGATATTCTTGTTGGTGCTGCTGAGTCAATTCCGACTCCTGGCGACCCTGTGGACAGCAGGGCGGAACCTGCCCGGTTCTTTTGCGCCATCCTCTCACCTTCCGGGCTCTATCAGACGCTGTTCCACTGCATGGGCACTTTTTCTGGAAGTGGGTGGCCAGGTCCTTCTTCCTAGTCTGTCTTAGTCTGGAAGCTCTGCTGAAACCTGTCCATCATGGGTGACCCTGCAGGTGTTTGAAATCCTGGTGACACAGCTTTCAGCATCACAGCAACATGCAGCCACCACAGTGTGACAACCAGGACACGGAGGGTGATTCCCTGACTGGGAAATGAACCCAGGCCAAGGTGGTGAGAGAGCCAGATCTTAACCACTAGACCACCAGGGCTGGCTAATATGCATAATATACTTATATATATCTATGCATATTAAAAATATAGATGTATATATAGATCTCATATGTACATGCAATCCTGCCATGTGGCCACCCGTGAGATAACGGTTGCTGCTCTGGGTATCGGTGCCAGCCAAGAAGATTTTGAGTCGCTTCACTTTTTAAAGTTTGAATGATGAAAATGATAGAGTTTTTCTTTCCATTTTCCAAATATAAAATGATGACATTGAATTACTCTTTTTCAAACTACACACATCTCCCCAGACATGCTGATGCATCTGCTGTCTAGAATTTAACTCGTTTTTTTTAAAGTTGACACTATAATGTGGCATGGACTTTCACTGGCAGAGAGGGGCTGGGTGGGGAGGATGTCGCTGCATGGAGACAGCAGGAAGAGGGAGCTCGGTGGGGAGGGGGCACTGAGTTGTCGGGGCTTTCCGAAGAATCTAGGGTGGGGGCCAGAGGTGGGGGTTAAGGCTGAACATGGAAAGCAGAGCTAGATGGTGG